TCTGGTTAGCAGGCAAGTGTCTTAGCCACTATGCTACCAGAGCTCCCAGACAAAATCAATAGGGAGGTCAATTTTGAAAGTCCGCTTCGATACTAGCCCCATCAGAGGCAAGCAGACTAAAAACAAATATGTTCTTGCCACTTACCAGCTGTGTGACCTTGAGTGAGTCATTTGACTGCCCTACTCTCAGTATCCTCCTCCATGAAGTGGGAATGACACTGTTTCCTTGCGGTGATGAAGATTAAATGGGATAATGTCATTTAAGTGACACGGTCCTGGTGGGAGATTGGACAGTGTTAACATCTCCCATGTCTTAGCTCTCTTATGGACCCTGACCTATATCCACATATATTTTATCTTTCCAGCTAAGGTGGCAGCTCTTATCACATGTCAGAGACATTTTGGGGTCTTCTCCACAGTGCCTAACAGGATGACCTGCCCAGAGCAGACATTGAGAAAAATGTATCAATTGATGAGTTGATACTGGTCTTTCTCTCTGAGAGGAAGAGCTATGTTTCAAGGCCTTTGAGACACCAGTGAGGATATATTTGGTGTTGATTTGCATCCTACTGCCCACCCCAACTACAGTCTCATCCTCCATTAACAGTGTCAGAAAAATAACTGTCAACCACATCCTCCATTGCCCTTGCTATATTCTTATAATTAAGCTATGACTGGTCCCAGGGAGGCAGGAACACAGACTGGCATCTAATTGCCACCGAGCACTTTCCCAGAGACCCAGGCCATATATCTTGCTATTTGGTGGTGTCATTTGAGTAGAATAAATTCCTTTCCAATGGGATCTGTACAAAGAGAGACATTCTATGAAGCAGCACCTTCTCCCTTGGGTGGGAAACCAACACACACCCATTGGTCTGGTCCTATAATTCCCCAAGTGTTTGAGTGGAGAGCCTTGTAAGATGCAAGAAGCCATATCCAAGGAGGCTGGGGAAATTTTCCTTTAATTCTCTTGCCCCTGTTTCAGATTGATCAGGGAAAAGACAGGCTGGGCCTTGAGCTTAACTTGTGCCCTGAACTTAAGATCGTAATAGACATCTTCAGACAGGATTCTTCTCACTGTCAGTAGCAACCACAAAGTGCTCCCCAAGCCTCAGACTAGTTAGTAAGACGCCGTCCCTGCCTGCCCAGATCCAGAAAACATATAAGTGTAATATTCACTCCAGCCAACTGAAAATTTGAATTACCATAGAATTTCTATTCAGAGCTAGTAATTTACTTTGCCAACTATGTTTTCATTTTTAACAACAGTACCATTACCTTGTAATGTTATAAAGTGATAACATTATTTTGATGTAATAAACTATTTTGCAGGTTACAAAGGACACCCACAAAATTATAATTTCATCTCATGAGTCTCTCAGTGGTCCTGTAAGCTAACTGGGGCCAGAATGATTAAACCCATTTTTTTTTTCTCACAAGGAAACTGAGGTTCAGAAATTAGCTCCATGTTAATTGGCAAGCCTGCCTATGTTCAATTTAAAATGCAATTTAATACCAAATGTGAGTGACCAGTATGGCAGCACTGAGGAAGAGGAAGACATAGAGAGGTACATGGGAGGTACAGACAACAAATATGAACCCTTTTGCACATACAGTACTGCGTTGTCAGTGAAGGCAAACATGGGTATATGGGTGGATAGATGGGTGGACAGGCTGAACGACTAGGTATGCCTATGAAATGGGGAGTGTATCCAAGAACATATACAGGGTTGGCAGACAATGGTCCTACAAGTTTATGTGAATGATCAGAATTCCCAAGTGTATAGTTGGGCAATCCTACTTCCGTAGTGATACTGCCTCGGAAACCCAAGGAGGGGTCGCTATGAGTCGGGGCCGACTCGACGGCACATAACAACAACAACATAGTAGAGCTGACAAGGGGCAAGGTTGCAATCACTGCTTGGTCACAGCCAGCTACCCAGAGGAACCAAGTAGTTGAACCTGCTGGCTTGGGACCATAGTCACAGGGGATATCAAGCTCAATTGGCATAACATACTATACAAAGCATTGTTCCACCTCCTACTTTGGTGAGTAGCGACTGGGATCTTAAAAGCTAGCAAGCTGCCATCTAGATTCAATGATGGGTCTCTCCTCATCCAGAGCAAAGAAGAATGAAGAAAACCAAAATTCACGGAAACAATTAGTCCTAGCAACTGGTATACCATCTGATTTGTAGCCTATAAGACTGTGAGACTAGAAGAACTAGATAGTGCCCGGCTACCACTGTCATCCACTTGGAAGGAGATCTATGTAGGAGATCCTTGATAGAGAGGGAGAACATGTGGAACAAAACTCAAAATCATTTGGAGGAAAAAAAAAAATGCAGGGGACCAGGTTTGCTGATCCAATAGAGCCTGGTGGAACCACTGAGACTATGGCCCCTAACTGCCCTTTAGGTCTGGAATTGAACCCACACCTGTGGTTTCCAGCCAAACAAAAGACAGGCATATGAGTTGAACATTTACCTCGAGTAGATACTCTCCTTGGAGAGAACAATCATGGGAGAAAGAAGGGCTGCTTATGCACAGGGAGACAGCTCAGGGGGCAGGAGTCCATGGAGGGATGGACACAAGGAAGAGGTAACTATGGGGAGGAAGTGGGAGGGGAGCTGTTGCATTGTGGTAAACTGTGGTCAATGTCATGAGACAAAGTATATGTGAACTGCTGTATGGAAAGTGAATTTGCTCTGTAAATCTTCACCCAAATCACAATAAAAAATAAATAATAAAAATTTAAAAATGCAATTTAATATGCAAAAATCTTATTGATACTTAACTTCTTTGGAGCATGTCACTTGCACAAAGGAGTTACAAGTGTAACATACTCCCCCAGCAAAAGACCTGCATGTTCTTCTTTTATAGAAAACTGCTGTCTTTCTTACTCTGTACCCCAGCTAATCTGCTCCATTTGTCTTCAATAGCACT